ATGGTGCCATATGATGTACCTGTTGAAACTATGGATATGATTTATAGATTTATTGGAATCCATGATGATATAATAGCTAATTTTACTTCAAGTATTGGTATAAAGGTAATTAATTTATTAATATATTCATATACAATTATAAGGAACTTTTATTGTGGAAACAGTCAACATAAATTTTTTACAAAATTTACTAATATAATTTTCCTTTTTTTAGGAGCAACCAAATGTGCAAGGTGATTACGATAATGGAGAAGATAGTGATAATAAAAATAATGAACACAATCAAGATTCAGACGAACAGCGTCAATCGTAAGAATTTAATTTTTTGTGTAATAAATATACATATATTGTATATGTAAATATAATGATAGCAATTAAAACGAAAATGAAAGTAATCTATCTAATAAATAATAAATAATCTTTATTTATTTATTATTTATTATCATTTTATATAGTCATGGAACAATCGTGCTTATTATTTTAATAGTTGGTATAATTTTGATACTTATTTGGAATTACCGAGGGAAAATATTTAATCGTAGAAAAAGTTTGGCAAATCAAAAGATGGTGTTGGATCTTGAAAACAATGAGTTGTAAGTCAAGCAACTAACTATAATAATTTTATTTTTTAAAACTTTAATTATTAAATAATTATATTTTTTGCAGGGATAATTTAGCTAAAGAAGCTACATTGTTCCAAACAGATGATATTGATCATTTTGGAGATAGTGAAAATGAAGAAGATGAAAATACCGCTATAGTTGATAAAAAAGAAGAAGAAGAAGAAGACGACGACGACAAGAATTCTAGTAAAAATAATTTGTTTGTTTAATTTATTTTGAGACGCAATAATAGATTTTGTATATTGTAAAATCTTTTCAGGAGCGAAATGAAAATTGTAGAAACTCAAAAAATATTTATTTTTTTTTTTGTAAAAAATTTTAGAATTAAAAGAATAATTGAATAAATTTAATAATAATATAATAATAATAATTAATAATAATAATAATAATATTAACAATAATAAAAATCAATCGAGCATCCAGCCATTCATTCAATTCAATTTGATTGGTTTGATTGATCAACAACATCATCGTCGTCGTCGCCGTTCATATCAATCAATCAATCATTTGTTTTTGTCATTTTTGTCTTATTTGAATGATTATCATTATTTTTTATTGAAAATTTTCCTGTTGTAAATTTTACATTCAAATCGATTGTAATTTCATTCTATTCTCCTAATACTAAGTTTAAGTTACTTGCTGACTTCATTACAAAGACTGTATTATCTCTAAATTTGGTTAATTTAGAAAATTTTGTAGTGCGGACCAAGGTTGGCAAATTGACCGGTCCATTGCTATTAATAAATTACTAAATATGCTAAAATGGTACACTAATGGATCCGATGGACCACACATTTGCCAACCCTGATGCGGTCCCTATTTTTTATAATTCATTGCATCCTCCACATTACGGTGCGGATCATCTATAATAATCAATTAATAACAAAATAAAAAAGTTAACTGACAAATTTTATTGCTAATTTGAACCTTGGCATTTCGAAAATTCCCAAATTTTATTATAATAATATCTTTTTGATGAGAAAAAACCTCAATGTTTTTAAAAAGTTAAAATTAAAAAATCTACAATTAATATAATTAATAATTTTACCACGTTCGTTATTAAGAAGAATTAGTTGCTCTTCATAATTATTAGTATTATTGGATACATCCATACCTTCAACGTGTTCCGCAAATCTTCTTTGCCTATGACGATCCATTAGTATTAGGTCAAATTCACGAACACGCAATTTAGCTTCTTCTGCTCTACGTTTATCTCTTTCAACTTTTAAAGTTAAAATAATTTTTGATGGATCAGGTTGTGTTTCAAATTGTGATAATATTTCTTGCAAATCGAAATTACTTGTCAAAATGTCTCAGTTAGGATTAATTAAAATTGCAGGAATATTTGGAGGAGTAGTAAAGAAGGGTGAAGCTATTGATGCAACATTATTTGTTCTGGTAGTGGTCGCGGTTGCATTTTGTACACATTGCGTTGAGGTCAAAGGAGAGGATGGACCATCTAAAGACGAAGCCATTATCAAAGATTTGATATGTATTGTCTGTTATTATGATCTAGAGTTTGTAGATTGATTGTTGTTGCGGTTGTGATTGTGATTTATAGCGATTGTTTTGTGTGCCAGAATTTGACGTTGAAGGAGCAATAGAGGAATTCTGTAAAGTTATGTAAATGAGTATTTTAAGATTAAATTTTCATCAGAAGAGGTCACAAACTGATAAGGATGGTGATTTTTGCATAAAAATATGGATCGAAAACATCACTATTAGTCATATCGTGAAGTCTATCTCAAAGTTTAAAAAATAGATTTTTTTGTTTTGCTTTTTAGACTAGCTATTTGTACTGAATTTTTCAAATTAACTATTAACAACTATTATACAACATACAGTAAAATAAAGGTATTTTTTATTAAATAAACTTTTTAATTTTGGTAATGCAATTTCCCTGAATAAAATGCTATTGATCACATTATTTGTACTAAGTTCAAAAGAAAAAATTTCTTTGACATTCATTTGTTAGAGAAATTTCAAGTGATATATGTAAATATGGTAAAAAAGAAGCAATTACGGTTGAAGTTGGCTCAATCAATGGATAAATTTTCAAGTTTAGACATTAGAGATGATAATGATGAAGATTTAAATTCGAGTCTACAGGAAGTTGATTTATTGAACGATTTAGATAATAATCAACTACAAATTTAAAATTTTTATGACAATTGATATGCTTCACTATTAGCGTTGGTTTCCAGAACTAGAGAGTTTCGCAACTGTGCAAAAGTCAAATGGTTTCGCTGTAAGTTTTGATCACTGACTTTTGATTTAGTTTTGACACATAAATTTTAATTTTTGTTTTGACTTTCGTCTCTTCAAAATAATTTTGGCAACGAACACTATTTACTACATAACCAAAGAGCACCCAATTGGACTTATATATTTTAAAAAAAATCATTCATAGTAGATATTAAAAACGCTTCAGATGGATCAAATTTACAGAATACTCTTAATTAGTTATATTTAACAAATAATTCAGATACATACAATCAACCAAAATCAAGACTGCAGATAAATTCTTTTATCAAAAATAATAATTATTGCTTTTAAAATTTTTTAATTTATTAATTAATAGTGTTCCATGTCGCAATCCAAAAAAAGGAAACCAAAGTGGTCGCAAAGGTGGTTGCAACCAGGTGTCACAAACCATTTTTATATGTCGCAAATATGGTTGCAACCATCACCAAGAATTGCGACCAGCATCTATATTAATTAACCATGGAATTATTACAGATTACGGAATTCCATGTATTTCAAAAAAAGAATTTAGTAAAATTCTTGGCATTTTTTCTCACAATTCATCTAATAGCTTTCACTTTTATATTAGTCAACCTATTACAAATATAAATACAATTAGTTATGTGTCTATTATTGTATTTTTGCAGTTAGTGGTAATTTGCTTTCAGGGCAGATGGTCATATTTCCAGGGCAGAATTCAGTTTGAACTTTATTAGTAATGAAATTTATGCAAATATATTAATTAATAGGTCTTTTCGATAGGAAACAAGAATATCTCACATGTAGCTTAGGGACTGTACCCACTTTACGAATTCAATTAATGCGACTTATTTTTTGATTGAATGGATGGTTGCATATTGATTAAATAGTCGTCGATGAGAGGATTTTTAACCAGCAAAAATGTTGTACACGAGGAACTCAAAATTGCTTTTTTCACAGGATGATCCGTTTCTATTGAAAAGACCCATGTTAATAACAATACTACTTTTCCAACTCCGCTTGCAAAATATGGTCACACAAAGTTTCTTGTAGATCACACGATACTGTATATTTTTAAGTAGCCCATTTTTTATTGTTAAAAATAAGCATTACTAGTGCCAAATTTTGTAGTGGAGGATAGGTGACCGCAAACGCTATGATTAGAAAGTACTAGTACACTAAAAAAGAGCGGGACCGCAACATTTCAGCTTTCGAGATTCATAATAGTCGGACGACATTTCACAATCGCAGATTTTAATACACAGTGAATCTCAATTTAGCGGATAAGTTTGGCCCAAGAAATTTATCCGCTAAATCGAAATATCCGTAAAAACGAGAAATTTGGAATTAGTGGATTTTATATTAAAAATCATGTGACATCAGTTACATAAAAATCTTATTTATTTATAATTAACAAATTTTACAATATATATGTAAATAATAAAATAATAATATTATAAATGACAAAAAAAATAAATTTATTTTTATTCTAGCATATAATATTCTTCAATCCTTGTTTGTATATACTCTTTCTTGAGAATTTTTGTAAGAAATTTCCCTTTTTAATTTATTGACATTTCTAATTATTTGGAAATCAATTTCCAAATTTTTTTGTTGTACATACTTGAGTGCAGTTTCCAAACCTTTTATAGCTTCTGTGCTAGTGATTGTCGGTTCAGGTTTGTCCATTGTATCATTGTTATCTTCGTCTTCATGTGCTGATTGTCCTCTTACAATACTCACAATTTCTTGTTCTGTTATTTCCTCCTGAACAGCAAGATTCTGATCAATAGTAATAAATTCATTTGCATCTAGATGATTTGTAAAGGGAAGTTGATTGATTAAATCATTTATCTCACTTAATTCTGATTAATTATTTGAATTTTCAACTATTGAATCAGTTGGACTTTGATTATTATTGACTATCATGGTTTTCGCCCAACTGTTTCTAATTGTTCCAACTGTTACTTGTTCCCAAGCTTTAGAAGTAAAATTAATTGCATCAAAAATATTGATTTGAGGTACTTCATTATTATTATTCTCTGATTCTTCATAAGCTTTTATTCTATTTTGACAAAGCAATTTTCTATATTTTGACTACAAAAAAAAATTTTGAAAATTAATTCATTTAAATGTGAACATTAATTAAAAATTTATTTAATCACCTTTAAGCTATAGATTATTCCTTGATCTAAAGGCTGTAGAATAGATGTGGTGTTAGGAGGTAAAAAATGAATTCGTATATTTGATAAAGTAGGTACATTTTCTGTGTTATGAGAACTAGCATTATCTAAAAGCAAGATTATTTTTCTATTCTTTCGAATCATTATATTATTGAACCTTTCTAAATAGTGTTTAAAAATACTTCTTTGCATCCATGCCTTAGCATTCCAGTAATACCACACGGGAAGTGTATTTTTGGAAATACCTCTCAAACATTTTGGATTTTCAGATTTATGGATGAAAAGTGCAGGAAGTTTTTCACCAGTTAAACTACAAGTAAGCATGGCAGTTATACAATCTTTAGGGCGTTTTTTCCCCATAACTGGTGTATGAGCAATTGTCCTATTAGGTTCTAGTTTCCAGAATATTGCAGTCTCATCACAATTCCATATATCTTCGGGATTATATTCTTGTAAGGTTTCTTGAAGTTGAAGGCGCATAGCAGCAATTTCATGATTGGGTGCACTCAATGATTCACCTCTTTTTTTGTAACTATGTAAATTATTTCTATTTTTAAAATTGTTTAACCATCCTATAGAAGCATTGAAATCACTAATTCCAAAAAGATTAGCAAATTCTTTTGCCTTTTCTTGAATAATAGGGCCACTGAATGTTAAATTTCTAACCAAAAGTTGATCAACCCAGATCCTTGTTGCTTCTTCAATATCAGGATAACCAATTTTTTTATTTCTATATAGATTGTTATTATTTAAACTTTCATCATAATCTAACCATTGAGGAGATTGACTCAATATATCGGAAACAGACTGTACAGATATTCCAAATTCATGGGCCAATTCAACACCTTTAATGCTTGGATTATTCTTTTTTTTTTCACATAATTCTTTTTTTTGTGCTTTGGTCAGTATTTTTCTTGTTTTCTACATAGTTTAAAATAATGATTAATTATAATGAATCATTTTATTCACAATTTAAATCTTATTTATATTACTTTAGATTGGTTTGAATTTTCTTCTGATCTGTTTTGTGAGTACATATTTTCAACTTTATTATTAAAAGTATAGTTGTTTTATTTTTAAATTGATAAAGTTTTTTTTTTGATTATAGACAAAGGTGGATATTTCCTTCCCTTTATATAAGAAAAAATTTTCCTATTGATTAAATCATAAGTTTTATTTTCACGAATCAATTATACAAGCCATAAATTTTAACTTTACAAATCATAAGTTTTATTTTACATTTAATTATTTTTAATTATAATAATAAGCTATTGTTTCTATTTTTTCCAAAAATATTGACGCTTAAAATCATAATTTTTTTATTTATTTAATCATATGAATCATGTTATATTATCGTATGTTATTATCATACGTTACTAATACGTTATTTTTTTAAATTTTCTAAACGGTAATGATCATCATTATCCGTTATATCGAAATAAATTTGTTAATGTACGACATTAAAAGGTTTAAAAAAATATCCGGTATACCGAATATATATAAAAATCCGCTAAATCTGTTAAATCAAGATAAAATAACTATAAAAAAATTCTGTTCCGAAATTTTATCCGTTAAACCCCTAAATCCGCTAAATCGAAATCCGCTAAATCGAATTTCACTGTGTATAATATTAAGAATGTAATAATCAGCAATACATCCACAATTTAATCTAACATATTCCTAGCTATTTCTTGGCAATGACACTATCAATATGTCATTTCCTTTTATTTCTTTATATGCTAAAATCATAAATATTGTAAAAGGACAAAGTGAAGTTCATTACAATGAAACAAATGAAACAAATGAACCTGAGCTGATGATCATTAATATAGAAGCTATAAAAGCTCCAGAAACTATACTTAAATATGTACAACAAAAAATTTTAGATATTGGTTTTCAAGTAATTAGAAATGTCAAAAGATTAAAAAGTGAAATTTCTTACAAAATTCTCAAGAACAAGTGCAAACAAGAATGGAAGATTATTATAATGTCAATGTTTTAAGTGAATGAATTGTTTTTTTTAATTTTTTTACCAACTGTATTTTTATTATCATCATTATTATTTGCAT